AGAGTTCGCATTGGGATAATCGGTAAGCCGGCGCTCATCAGTTGGGGCAGGCGACTGCTTTCTCATCCAGACTGAGATCCTGAAAAGCGGCTTGCTAATTACTAATGAATTTCAAGTGGATTGGTCCTTGGGAATAATGACATGAAGTCGCGCACAAATACCGTCGTCGATGAGCAGCTGACATGGAATTTGGGCTAGTGACACCGGAGGGACGTGGAGAGCGTGTGGACCGCAGTGTGGTTTGGGGTGTCGCATGCTCACTGAGCGCAATATTGAAAGGCCCGCGTTTGATGAATATAGCGATTTGAATCAGGATGAGTGTGCGCGCAGTGCACAGTTGCATCCTTACCGAGGTTTCGCTCGCCTATTGCCTTTGTTATGCAGTTGTACGACTGAGCTTCCTCTTGGGAAATATCTCATATCCTTGCGTCATGGTTCCGATTGCGATTGCTAAGACATGTAAGTGCTTGAGTGGTTCATCCAACCGTTCTCACACATGATTTGTATTGTTGCGAAACAGACCGAATGTGATGTTTTACCAGAGGCGACACACTAAGAGAAAAATGAATTCCGTAACACTCAGGGCGGTTATACTAGTCTGCCAGTTTCAAGGAATGATCTCAGTTAGGTGTTATTGCTAAAGTGCAGTAAATAGCGGCGCATCTGATTTGGTTAACACAGAACAATCTAAGCATTAGCAGATTATCAGCTAATCAGCAATATCCGTGTTTCCGCCTCTTTTCATGTGGCAAATTATGCGTTTCAGTGACGCACTTGGAAATCTCGAAGTTGAGTCTGCTCCAGATTAGTGACATCGTGCTTCCGTTTGGGTGGTTTTGTTTGATTTTCTTTTTCTACGTGGTAATGCCATTTCGGTTTACTCAGAACAACCCGTCATCCCGAACCAGTGGCGTAGGTCACGTTCGACGATAGAGAAATGTAGGGTCTGCGTTTCGAACCAATAGTTGTAGAAGCTGTGGTTTCGTATGCAGAGTATCTTACATGCGTGTAGTCACCCTACCTATGAGAATTGAATCCTTCAGATGCGCAGCTGTCGAACAATTGTGAACTTTTTGAGACATAAGCGTTGTTATCATCAATAAATCGTAGTATTAATGTTGGAATTTTGTGAGTAGGGTAAAGTTTGTAGAAAGTAGAAGTCACGATTAAAATTCACGCACAATATATATATATATATATATATATATATATATATATATATATATATATATATATACTGTTCCCAGTATGGTTGATGCTCACAACATTGGCTTGCCCATACGTCTCCGTTTGAACCTGTCTCCATCTTATTCCGTAACTAGTTGCACCTCGGCGCAGCGCGAATACTTCAGCTAAGTAGTCATACGGTGCAACTTAACATCATTTAGTTCACTCTACACATCATGTCAAGAGGAGGCCCATGCATGCGCCATTCGACGGAGGTTAAGGCAAGAATATTGAAGACCTATGAAGAAGGCGATAACTGGAAGCAGGTTGCATCCGTGTTAAATGTCCACCTGAAGACTTGCCGAAGTTGAATTAAAACGTTAGAGTCCAACGAACCAAAAGGAAAACGTGGCGAGGCACGTCGAAAACCACTGACTGACATTCACGTGGATAATCTGGTAGAAAGGGGAGAAGCGGAGCCTAACATAACCTTAGAGTGTCTTCGTTTCGGATTAAAAGCGGGGCTCAACGTAGAGGCGAGCGTCAGCACAGTAGCTAGGTGTCTAGAGGGTCGCCTCATTACCATGAAAAAGCTACATGCTGTACCGGAGTCAATGAATACGTTTGAGAGCAAGAGATGAAGGAAGTCGTATGTTTTGCAGCTGATGAACTTGGAAGCTGAAGAGTGGCAGCCAGTTTGGATTAATGAGACGAATTTCAATGTTTTGCGCTCCCACGAGGGGGGTTCAGGACGTGACACACGTGCGCAGTACACTGTAGCTAGCACTCGTGGACAAAATCTGCACCTTATCGGCATGATAACTGTAGACCGACTTTTGGAATATACTGCCTTAAGGGGGAGTTACAACAGGGAACGGCGTGGGCGGTGGTTGCGGCAAATACTTGATGACAACTGCACCGCTGTTACTAACAGGTGTCTGCTGATATGTGACAACGCACCATGCCACAAGGATCTGGAACGTGTGTTCCAAGAGAACCATTACCAATCAGGGAGGCTATTGCGACTCGCGCCATATTCGCCTTCACTGAACCCCATAGAATGCGTTTGGAGTATCATCAAGGCGACCGTCACACATGCCATGCGGCGCGGATATCCCGAGATGCTGCGAGGAGATTCATCTGGTGTGCTTAATAAAAGAAGATGGAGGATCCAGTTCCTTGAAAAGATTGTATCTGAAGCACGAGCCAGCGTTACGCAGCACCATTGTAAACAAATGGTGGAACATGTCAGTGCGAAGTACGTGCGTGCAATACACGTAATGGATCTGTAAACCTCGTACATGTCCCTGATACATTGTTTCTAGCTTTCACCAATATTTTTGCTTAAAGACGACGTAAGGTTGCCTTGGGCAATACAGCTCTTCAATTTGGGCAACACTAGGACGTACTGTCGGCAACCGTAATCTCGGTAGTTATATTAAAGGGTTTTTAGTTCGCCGACGCGGCTGTCGTATCTTGACTGCTAATAAATCATAGCAATTACCATGCCAGCGGCAGTTCTCGCAATGTTAGGGAACTACGCGTTAACGGTTGGTTAAGTGAGTAACATGGTGACTTCAATGTCGCGGAATCACTCAGCATGGAGGCGGAGCTACAGTGTGCATGAGCTGGGACGTTGTTTCCTTGAAGTATGTGCTGAGAAACGCAGAGAAATACGTAGAGGTCCTCCGATGAGCCAATCGGAGAACGAGCAATGGATAGTGAATATTAGGGTCTAACACAACTCAATCATAGTACCTTTACCAAGCACCGTTCGGTTGTGTGATTGTGTCGTATGGAATCGCATTTCCTCCAACGTCGCATAGAAGCTATGCCAGTCCGCGGTGTGCAAACCCCACCAGCATAAGGTAATTGCATACAGAGCAGAACACTGTGTCACTTACCCGTTACCCGCTTCACAGTTACAGCAGTGTCTTCCCACAAATGTCATGGTCACCCATAGCGCATTGCAGTTTATTTCCCAATGATGTCTTTCTCCGTCAAACAGACGATTCCTTACACTCAGCAGCTTTAGACAGGTAACTCGGCGGCAAGCAATCACATGTCACGTCTCCTCTGCTGCTCGCACTGTGCAGTGATTGCGCGCAACGAGAAACCACGTACATGGATGGGTAAATGCCTGCAAGTGCGCGCAATTAGCGAACGCACTGGGAACCATAAGGCAACGCTCTGAGCTAATGCCCAGCACTGCTCAAGCAGTCGTGTAGGGGTGTGATAAGGCAGACCAGGTTTAGTATCAAGTGCTGTACACAAATGCTTGATGCCAACGGCACCGATGTTACTGATAAGTGTCTGCTTATCTCCTACCGCGCACCATTACATACGGATCTGGAACGTGCGTTCCAAAATGAGCGTTAACAATCAGAAAGACTTGCGACTCGCAATATATTCGCCCTCCTTGAACCCAATAGATTTCCGCAGCTCGTGTGGATCCATCACTTTTGTGCACGCAAGCTACGCAAATCTGACGTACTTATATAAGAAACCGTGATGGCTAAATCCTTCCGCGCACCGTGCACTACGAAGCAACCTAAGGAGGACAACACATTAAGTGGACCACCTGGTTGTAGTGTAACACGCATATCTGGGGATATATCCTTTGTTCGTTTCCCTTTTGCAATAAATTTATTTTTTCTACTTCCTCTAAGTTGCATGCTAACTCTGCCTCGTGAAAACGTTGTTGCAAGTGCCAGGAGATTTTGCAGTCTGTACTCACCAACTACTGAATAAAAGTGTTTATACAACAAAATACTTTGCAACGGATGTCCTGAGAAAATCATCCAAGTTCACGGCAAACCCTAAAAATGCTGTCAATTCTTACTGTCACGAAAATGATTGTCTACCTGTTTCTGCCGCTCAAAGAGCATAATGTCGCGAGGGGTGCTTGACAGTAAATCAGGTCTACCGTAACGCGGAGATACAGGATCACTTGACCACAACACATCTACATCACCCAAAAAGTGTTATCATCCAAAACTGCCAGAGTACATTGCCCGTCAGTTCCGCCTACATGGTATGGCTAAGTTCATGGGTTCAACTGACTCAAGAGATGACTGACCATTTCGTACTGTAATTAAAGCCATCCCTGTGGCAACAACATTAAGTGGACCAAGTGACGCACAGGACCTGCGCCTCGTCCATCCCCAGGCCTCAAATGAAGCCCCGATGAACTCGTTCAAGTTATTACTACGTAACCGCAGTCGGAAACTGAATACGAGTCTCGAGCGCGACTGGGCACCCACCAAATCGCACGCGATCTGCGCCACCTCCAAACTTCTCTGGTAACTCATGTGGTAAACTAGTCTGATATGCCATTGGTTGAGTTGCGATTGGTCACCCAACGCGGGGCGCGCTTTGGTGCGTTCGCGTCAGCTGGATGATATTTGATTGCGTTAAGGAGAATTCTAAATGATGTATGGACGAAAACTATTTCCCTAAGGCTAAGTTTGAAAGCGTTATGGATGAAATAAACTGAGAAAAGGTGTAGTTATGTCGGTTGGCATGTAACCATGACACATAAACTGGATGAGCGGATAGAAGTTAAGAATTAGATCATGTTATTCATCTTGTGGATTACATACTCCTTAGGTCGGGAGGGCAAGTAACCATGGAGCATAGGGTGGGTAAACAAATAGTTGGTGAGAATCCAGAGTTAGCTCGCGTCATCCATCTTGCGAATTGCGTGGTAACTTTACCGCTTACAAGTAGCTCGATTTGTGTACAGATTGAGCAAATTGCTAGATCTGCATTTTTCTTGTTTTGTATGGATTTTGATTCACTGCTAATTGTTCTTGTACACATGCTCTTCGTAGGTTTCCAACGAAATTACCAGGCAGCTGATTGAAATGGAAGGGTTTTACAGTTTGCAAAAGCCGGGTGAATTTACGAAGATTGTGGATTTGCAATTTCTAGCCGCAATGAATCATCCTGGTGCTGGACGGAACGACATCCCAGAGCGGCTGAAAAGGCATTTTTCCATTTTCAACTGCACGCTGCCTAATGATAGTTCAATAGACAAAATTTTCGGTACAATAGCTCTGGGACATTTTGGTCCCAGTAAAGGTTTCAGTGATTCGGTTGGGCAGATGATCGAAAACTTGGTGCCGATGACCAGAAGAGTTTTGCAACTTACAAAAGGCAAAATGCTGCCAACACCGTCGAAATTTCACTACATCTTTAACCTAAGAGATTTGCATCGTGTATGGCAAGGGATGACCACTGTGACTGTTGAGGTTGTCAATTCTGACGAACGACTTCTGCTACTGTGGAGACATGAATGCACCCGAGTGTTTGCAGATCGGTGAGTGATAATGTCGCACGCATTTATCTTGCGAAATGCACCAACATTGGCGGTAGTCAAGCTATTAAATTGTACGACCAGTGGCAACGGCACCGTTTTAGCCCTTCTGATAATCAGTGGCTAGCGCGTAACATTTTGGGGAAACAGTGATACTTCATGAATACCAGTGAACAAATGGTAAATCTTAACTGGACATTTCCACTACTCAAGCTGATGGTTCTATGGAGCTGTCATCATCACAGCTCATAGAAACGCCCTGGGTGATATTTCAGTCTTGTAGTATAGCGGATAAGATGACTAGGACAGGGACGTTGTGGTCAGCTGTCATGAATCACTTGCACACTATTTATGCTGTTTGTTTGTTCATCCATCTACCCATCTTTCAAAATAGCAAGCAGAAAAGACATTTTAACAGGATACGCTGAATTCAGGTATTTTGAGTGTTTTCCTCAGCTGTTTACACACATTGCTGTCGTTCTAGTACTTAGATGCTGCATGGTTCTTTGTATAATAGCGGATCCTAAATTCTCACAAAATCCAGATTAGAAGAGTAGGAGCATAAAATCAGGCAGTGGACAAAGGTGCTATCACCTAAACGAGTAGCACAGCTGGCGTCTGTTACAGTGGCTAGAGGCTCAATGTCAGTTTTGTTTGAAGTGCCCATCTTGTGGATGGTTTGTGACACAAACTCATTTGGGACCACGCTACACTTTGAGGTGAACAACGGTTAACTTGGTCTCTGGAACACTGAATGAGATAAACGTTGGTTGTTTCCCACTTCATGCTCTGGGCTGAGTTTGTTTCGAGCTCGGCTGTGCTCTTCAGGTGGAGAAAACCGAACTGGGAAGCGAAACAGATACATAACTAGGTTCTGCCGACATCAGCATCACTTCACCATGAAGCTAGGTGGAAAAGGCCTCTCACAGATGATTAGGGACTCATTGGTGACCTAACTTGATTGCATGTTATTTGAGCGCACCACAAACCCTCCCTAATACGAGTTATGGTTGGTCTATCCATACCGGAAGAATGCAACCCTGCAAGAATCTGGCGTGGAATGGAGCGCTGGATTGGTGATCACTCAACTCTTGTGTGCCTTAGATGTGGTCCCATTGATGGAATTAGACGAGGTTCATTTCTGTGAACCGCGGATGATATTGAATTATTGAAATTATGTACGCATAACTAGAGGCACTACGGGACGACATTGATATACAAGTATATGAAATCCGGTGTCACAGAGGGCGGTGGATGGATTAGCTTTGGTAGGTAACTGACAGAATGACGGATAGATAGTTAGACAGGCAAATGACAGACAGAAAAACAGAAGGCCGGATAGTTAGACAGACAGACAGATAGGCAGACAAACAGCTAGACAGGTAAATGGATGGTCGGATATATAGCTGGCCTAAATGTTGCAAAAGTATTCGCAATAGCTGGCTATCACTTCCTTGCCTTTGGCCAGGGACGTCCAAAGTCCGGCCCGCGGGCCAAATGCTGCCTGCGTTAACATTTCAACTGGCCCCCGGCCTCATCATAAAATAATTAACAAGCTTAGACTTTTTGTACAGATAATACTATATAGTTTACAAAACTTTTAGGGATATTATGAGTACAAACTTCAATGGCGTCAGATGCTGGCAAAAATAATGCTGTACCGTTTATTTTTAACTAACCAGGAATAGTTAATCTAGTGCCACTACTAGTGGTCTTAAATAAATCAAAAAGTAGGGATAGCAGGTTCTGTTTCACCATTCACATTAAAAACGCAATAAATACTTATTACATGTGCAATGTTTGCTGTTATTTTAATATCAGACTGGATATGGCCCGATATATTTTGACCTCAGCAAATGTGGTCCTTCTTGTGAAGAGTTTGAAAACCATGCTTTAGGTTCCTTTACTGTGCCGAGCTTTGAATGCGATACCTTTTCTCAATTTGTTGCATCGTTCCACAAAATGTTTTTGGTGTCCGGAGTGCCATGGAGGAGTAGCACCTCTGGTAGGGGACCTACGTTATCCTCCTAAGTAGTCCACCTATCCTTGGTCTCCTCCTTTCACCCAGTTCTCACCTGTGGCTCCAAGAAGCTGCTTGCACGCGGCTGCGGTCACACCCCGGTCAACCGTCAGACAGGTGGGCTAAACCAGATAAGGATAGCCGGGGATACTATTCCTGGTGACTTCGTACTAGTGTACGACGTCAGTCCGGACAACTGGGCGGAGGAGATCGATCCTTGATCCAACGGCCAGAAGTTAAGACAATTTCGCAGATCACTTCTGCCTTGCAGGTGGCACTTGGTTGTGAAGGCTAGAGGTGAACCTTCGAACAAATGCCGGATGAGGTTGGAATCCTCATACGTGCCCATAATCCCCACGAAACTGCATGATATGTCCGTTACCCTCGATTTTTCTCATGCTACGGCGTTCCAGGTACGCGACGCGCTCTGCCCTAACACGGTGGTCAGAGTGACAAGTAAGCTAGCTGGGTCCTCAATCCCCGGCAGCCACCATTCATTGGATGCTGGAATGTCAGCACTCTGTTGGACGTCGGCAGCCAAGCGTTGACAATGCGCACACTACATGACTACCAGATCGACTTAGCATGCCTATCAGAATCTCGAATACCCGACTATGGCTCTCGAGAAAATCAAAGTCCCTGGTGTAGACACTTCAGCTTTACCATAGTGGGCCGGAAGATAATTCTGGCAATCAAGGGGTCGCCATGGCTCTCAGTTGCCAGGCACGCTACGCTCTCCTTTCATGGAAGCTAGTATCAGCTAGAATAGCAGTTGCATGCTTCAAAGGTCACCCACTGGATCTGATCATAATCTCTGTCTAGCACCAACCCTATCCTCAGCGGAAAGTGACAGACGAATTTCACGATACTCTAAGGACAGTGGTGAACCATTTTTCAAAACGCGACATCTCATTACTGCTGGGGATTGGAATGCACGAACATGTCCTAGAAATGATCGAACCCGTCACATACTCGGGAGATACGCCCTTGGAAAGCGCTGTGATAATGGAGACTGATTGCTCAGTTTCACTGCTCTTAAGCGGTTGCGCGTAACCAATACTCGCTTCCAGCATCCCAGGAAGCATCTTCTGACGTGGTACTCCAACGATGGTCGCACAGCAAGCCAGATAGATTACATCCTTATCCGACACAGGTGGATGTCCTCCACCGATGACTGTCGAGCGTACAGTGGGTCTGAAACAGGCAATAAAGGTGGTTCGGACCACGTACTCCTGCGTGTCAAATTCAGATTCCGGTTGACAACGCGGCGAAATACCCTTCCACCAGAGCGTATCAACACAGCTCCACTAGGAAATACTGACTGCTGCCGATCCCTTGAGACAGCAAGAGAAGCAGAACTTTCTGCCAGTGCACCACATCTCGTAATTGCAGAAGATGAATCTGTAGACGCTCGTTGGTTTAGGGTAAGGTCGTCAGTTCAACCCGCCTCCTTATCTACCCTGGGCTCTACCTCTAAGCCTGTGAAGGACTGGATCACGGAAGACACTATCTGGTTGTTCACTAAAGCGAGAAAGGCACGCCTTACGAATTCCCCAGACTACCGTCGCTTGGGAAGTGAGGCAACGCGCTCAGAATGGAATGATCGCAACCGCTACTGGTCTGATATCGCAGGCAAGATGGATGCTGCCTCAAATTCTAGCAATTTGGGTCATCTCTTTCGTCTCGTCCGTTTAGCTTCCTGCAAGTGCCATTCACCACAGCCGATATTGCGCAATTCGGAAAGCCAAGTCATCCCCGATACGACGGAAAATTTTCCAGATGGGTAGAGTATTTTAGCAACCTCCTAAATCGCCCACTAAACACTCCCGCACCCATTTCAGCATTAACCCAGCCTAGATCTGACGCGGATTACTCACCGCCACCTCCCACAGAAATTGTAGACATTGTTCCTCACCTAAAGCCGAAGAAACCCCCGGGAGCGGACGAGATTCCAGCGGAAATCTACAAATCTCGTCTACCAGCTCTCCTTGACTATTTGCAGGAGCTCTTCCGTTCGATATGGAAGATCGAAATCTGTCCTTCCTCGTGGAGTACCTCAGTAATACTTCCATTTCCCAAGAAAGGTGACCGGACTGTGTGTAGTAATTATCGCGGGATTAGCCTAATCGATGTGGCTACCAAAACCTTTGCAAGAATCTTGCTTTCCCGCTTTGCCAATGAGAGGAACCTGAGAACTCGAGATAACCAAGGTGGCTTTCGTCCACGCAGAGGCTGCACTGACTAAATTTGCACTCTACGTCGAGTACTCGAACACTGCTACCAGTTCCAGCAACCTAGGTTTTTGTGCTTTGTTGATATTCGAGCTGCCTTTGACTCAGTTGACCGCGAATCACTGAAAAATCCTACTTGCCGATGGCGTGCCGGTCAAACTAGTTAACTTGAGATCATACTACCGATACACAAAAGCCCGGATTCGGGTTTATGGAGAAGGAACAGGGGAATTCGAGATAAATACTGGAGTCCGGCGGGCTTGCGCACTTTCTCCAGCGCTGTTCAACTTTGCAGTTGATCGGGTTATGCATCATGACCTTGAGGGCTATCGTGGTGTTCAATTTAGCCCTGACTTCTGGCTATCAGATCTAGAATTTGCTGACGATATTGCTATCCTTGCGGAAGATGCTATATCACTACAGTCACAGCTAAATCGGGTCGACAAATCAGCCTCTATGATCGGCCTCGAAAATAACATCAGCAAGACGAAATTCTTCTCATCGTTAGCCACTCAGTCCGCCCCGTCGCTCTCCTTACATGGACAACTCATAGAATCTGTTCCTGAGTTCAAGTACCTTGGATCCACTATACTCCCTAATGATCAGGCTACACCCGAAATCCGGAAACGTATTGACTGTGCTAGAACAGCCTTCTTACAACAGAAACATATTGTGGCGAAGGACAGGAATTAATCTGAGAACAATGATCCGAGTATGCTCAGCAACCATTTGTGTCATTTCACTCTATGGTTGTGAAACATGGCCGTTGCGATCCGAAGACACCCGGAAGCTGGACGTTTTCGACCGTTGGTGTATAAGGCTTATCTTGAACAATCAGTGCCATTAGCGTATCACCAATGACGAAATCCGGAAGCGCTGTTACGGTCTTCCGAAGCTCACAACGCCCATCCAACGCCGCAGACTTCAGTGATTCGGTCACGTCCTCCGCAGACCAGACACTGACTTCACTAGGGCCGTGCTTTTACTCTCGTCTTGCCAGAGTTGGTGTCGTCGCCGTGGTGGACAATTGAAAACGTGGGTCACTGCAGTGAAATCGGATATCGATCTTCTGGGACTCCATGTTGTGCATCGTGCTCGTCACTGGAGGAATCATTGGATCAGTGTCTGATTGGAGCTTGAAGCCGACCGCCGCGCTTGGGCAGCTACAATTCGCGACATTCAGGAAACCGGCTCATCCTGTCTCAGGAGCTAGCCGCAGTAAAGTAAGTAAGCCTACCAAATGTTTGCATCGGTCACTTTGGAGCTGCATCGCGTGCGTCATGTGACACGTTACACGTGTGCCCTCGTATGAGCCGTACCCATGGACTGTCTGTCAATAAGTGGTATGTTATCACACAATGCGGTACGTAAACGCATTGCCATGAAGACTGATCACGCGCCTGCGGAACCTTTCGTCTAGGGTTCGTGCGGCAGGTAATCACGTTTACGTTCAGTAGGTGTGCAACATGCTTCCAGTCGCGTCCCTCTTCATAAATAAGTATTATATTCTTCACCTCTGTCGAGTGCCGCGTATGAGTGTCTTTTAGTGACATTCGGAGCAGAGCAGGCTGTTGCGCTGACTGCACGATTCCACTCAACTTGGCGTGCGTTACGTTACTCACCGTAACAGTGCAGTCAGTGACAAGGCGATCATGTGATTTCACGTCGCGAACACAGTCCGTGAGTATGGCTCATACGAGTGCACACGTGCAACGTGTCACATGACGCACGAATGCAGCTTCCAGCGTCGATGCAAACATTTGGTGGAACGATGCAACGAATTGAGGTTGTAGATATTGTATGCATAAATGCAGCTTACTTGACAAAGCGGCTACAAATAGCAGTAGCCGGTCGTCATCGCCAGTCCGAGGTAGTGCCCAATGTTTCGCAAACTATTCAACTGTGACAAAGCATGTGGCGACGTTCTGAAATGGATGGCACATTGGAACATTGGTTTATAATCTGTAAAAACGCAAATGCTTGGTGCGAATTGCTGAAAATGTCTTGACAGACACATGAGCTTACCTTGACTTGACTAGAAGTCCAGTAGGCTAGGCACGGTAAAAAGTACAAAGTGAAATTATGATGTTAAAGATGTAAGACGTGTGTGCCAAGACACGCATTTCTCATTGGGATAACTGTACGTACACTTACCACAGTTTCATTTGTGATATTATGCGGTTGTGGTGGCTACGATTGTTGTTGCGTGCTCTGGCTGCTACGCAATGAAAATGTGTTAGTGTGTTGTCAATGTGTCTGTTGAATATTGACGAGATGGAGGACATACAAGTTTAGCTGGAACATTTCACGGTTACGGTATAGCATTCCACTGATGAAGAGCCTCTGATGCAAGGCCATTTCTCTCTCGGGACGCGAGTACATTAATCGCGAAAACTAGCTCGACGATCAGACAGAATCTTCAGAAGCGAATCAATTCGCAACTTTCTTAAGGCCCTACAGCACGTACTCGATGCATGATGGGACTGGGATCATCTACAGTTCCAATCGATCGATCTATGCAACGATAGAGAACGATACGGGGTCGCTTCTGAAAGGCTTTCTATTCATCCGAAGTGTACTTTCACGGCGTATATATTAAACTCATACAACAGGGCGCTGCTTTCACAAAGGCTTGCTAAACCGCACTTCATGGTGTCTTCTTATTGCAAGCTATGGGCTGTAATTTGCAAACGTATTGGGGCTGAATTGAATCGAGCTGTTTTCCCATACATTTTCTGGGGCATCCTATTCTCCCGTTGTCAGCCTTCAATGTATCACTGTCCCGGAATCTGGGCCGCGGATTTTCGCATACTTTTCGTTCATTGGAAAACCTATTTATATCATTTCGTTCTTTAATTACCTTACAACAACCCATCCGTCACGTGAGCAGCAACTTGTTCTCCTGGACTGCACTGGGTGCCCATAACAGAGTTGGAATTGCACTTGATGCGGATAGGGTCTATCTGTTTACCACGTAATCCCCAATAAAACTGTTAATCATCTAACAACAATTTTCCGAAATATCCAAGTAGGTTGCATAGTCAAATAAACTCACGGTGCTCAGCCATCGTTTGACTCTGTTCCACTCCGTGTATTACTAGGCAGTACGTAATGGCCAGTTCGTAGTAGCCGACATCTAAACAGTAAAGTTGCCACCCTACCGTGTTACAAAAACCGCGAAAAACTGACGTGTCACATAGAGCATTTGCACTGAATGGGCAATCACTTCCTACTCGATTGCTGTGAAAATATCGGGACGGAATAGTGTTGTAGACAGGTACACTATCGGTGCGTCGTGTTCTTGTGTTGTAGCAATGGCTTGATATGTATCTTTATGTTCTTTCCTTTTTCCAGGTTTACAGCAGCGGAAGATCATGCGTGGTTCAATTCCATGTTGTGTCGTGTCGTGAGTGAACAAGTCGGCACCCAATACGTGCATTTGTTTGAGTCCAGTCCTCCGTATTTCGTGAACTTCCTTCGGTAAGCTGAAACTGCGCCGTTCGATGCCATTGGTCACTAGCAGCTGTACCCCGCAATCGCACAGTTATCAGGCACTTCGAGGCAATTTAGATGATGATGTCAGTGAATCAGGTCAACCAGTGAGGGAGAGCCAACAAAGAATTTGCGATCCCGCAGAGGTTGCGTTGATCTCAATGGACAGAAAGTATCAGATGGCAAAGCGTCCATTTCCTATGTTACCACAGAAACCACTGAGTAACAGTGAGCTAACAACACCCATCTAAACGCACGGTCTAGGCTGTAAGAATTTAAGGGTGGTGAGCCAAACAACTTATCCTGTGACAATGGTTCTACATCAGTGATTATAGAACAAAGTTGAAACGGATGACTTGCGGATAGGTGAGCAGACTCGCAGTTTGATAGCGAACTTGTTCCAGCCCAAACAGTATTCACTCTTTTATTTGCTTGAAAACAGCGCTCCGCAATATCCGTGCTATCCAAATCGATGTCCATAAAGAGACAAATGTTGTGTCATAACGACAAAAGTGGAATAAAGGCAGTTTATCAAGTAATTCGATTCTAAATGCAATCAATGGTAGCAATCTGTTCGACCATTGTGACTAAAATGTAAAATGAAGGTTTGCTACTGATAAATAGATAGTAGGCAAGCTGTAGTTGTGAATCGGGAACTCACAGTAATAGTGCAATGACAACAATAATCATCGAGTGAAACTGTGGCCATATTTGGCGGATCATATTTCACAGAATATGTCATGCCCATGCATGAATGGTAAACGGTTGTGTGATTTTCATTGCTTTTGCTGTTTCAACGGCTTGTATTAACTCACAGGTGTGTTTCAACACAACGTGAACTAGTTGAAATAGTGGATGGTAACAGCACCAGGGATGCGTGACACAGTATGAAAATTTTTGTTTTACTCATTAGATGTTGTCTGGCCCTTCTTGGTACAAGTCATCAAGTGATCTCTCTCAAGAGAACAGGGTCATAATCGTGTTCAAATCTAGGTAATTGGTGAGCTTAACGCGAAAGGCCATTGCGCTCTCACACGATCTGATCGTAACTGGGAGCTTATTCCACAGGACAAGATATATGATAAGGCGAAGTTTAGACCGGATTTAACCTGCACCTGGGCACACTCAGGGTACACACCTTATTGCGTAGCTCCCTTGTCGTACTATGTAGTTCTGGGAAAATAGTAGTGGGCGTTTTGATGAATCATGTACAGAAGCATCAGGCTATGCCTCAGTCTTCGTAGTCAAAGCGGATCAAACTGGAATTGTTGGTAGCGCTCCCGATAGTTTTTAGTGGATGTTTTGCCTAGCAAACGTTTGGTGAATGACCTATGTATACTTTCCAGAGATATGGTCAGATTTCCTCATACTGCCACAAATAATACTGCAGTATTCCAAGATTGGGCGAGTGAGGATTTTGCAGAGTTCTACTCTGGCTGGGGTTATGTGGACCTTATGCAGTATATTAGCCATTGATTTTCCGGTCCTAGCCAGCTGGTATTCCATTTGTACAGAAAAGTTAGAGGTGCAAGAATACCTGATTCAAGGTCGCGAGTAGACAACTGTACACAAAGGTGTTCGCCACTGAGTGTACTTGATCCCTCTGGTATCGAACAGTCACGATACATGATGCGAGATTTTTTTGCCAAGAACTTCATCATCCAGGTGCCACACCATTTCTCAAGGGACTGGATGTTTTCCTGTATGAGCAGTAGTGTTTCTTGAAGTGCAGATCGTCGGAATTTGTACCATTTTATGTTCGAAATAACTTGGAACACTGGGAGCCCGGCTTGGTTGCTCACCTGTTGATTGTTTTTCCGAGCTTGATTAAGAAATCGCATACGTTTCACCACCATGCGAGGTGGCATCTTCAGTGCAGTAATAGGCAGTGTGTATTGCTGCTTAGTGGATTGTCAGTCCGTCATGCACGGACAGGTGACTTTTGAAGGTGGCGATTTCGATTTGTGCCACGTGATCTCTGCCCATTTGCTTCCACGGCAAATGGGAAAGTCATGCCATGTCTGATAACCGCACTGATGTCATTGACGTAGAGCAAGAACAGTAACGGACCAAGTACACTCCCTTGAATAACCCCACTAGTGATTGTACGTGATGAAGAGTGGTGGTTGAGTATGGTAACTACCTGAAAACTGCCGCTCAGGTATGACGGTAGTCAGTCTAGGAGTGGGTCATTAATTCCAAAGTAAGCAATCTTTTCCAACAGCTGTTTGTGGGGTACTCGATCGAATGCCTTTTCCATGTCCAGGAACAGAAGTATGATTGCGTATTCTGAGTCAGTAGAATCCGAAACGCGGTTTAGTTAGTGTAACTGAAAGGTTATGCACGATCGCTTGTCCCAGAAACCACGCTTGGACCTGTCTATTAGCTCCAGCGATTTGATGCATTTCATCACATCATTCTTAAACAGTTTCTCTAAAATTCTGGCTACTACAGGGGTGTGATGGATTGTCCGGGAATTGTTAATTTCTTGTTTGGAGCCACCCTTGTGACGCGGATGATGAGCAATGTTTTCCACTGGTCTGGAAAATAGCTTGATTCCAACGAAAAAGTAAACATATTCAGCAATAGTGACGACAGGTCAGGCCCTCCTAGTTTTATGACGTCAAGTGGGATACCATCGCAATCCCGATGGGAGGAAGGTTTGGTAGAATTCATTACATGTGGGTAGTAATGACAGAAAATTCAATGTTACGCTGGGCGTTGGCTGTTTGCACCCAAATGCATGCATTTAACATAGTCGTCTCCAGGTTCATGGAGGTAGCAAAAGATGAGCTAAGCGATTCGCAGATGTCGGCTGGATCGTGAAGGGACTGTCCGTCTACATTAACCAATCCATCGATCAAGGGGAGTGGTATTTTAGTCTGCGGTGCAGAATTTTAACAAGTGTTTTCGTTTTATATGTCATTCGTAGAGTCATTTGTTCTCAGTGTATCCTCTTCCTCAACTGTATGTGCTTGATCCAGTTAACGATGTTGTGCAACTATGAAAGCAAGGTGAACTTACCCATCTTTCGGTATCCAGTACTTACTCTTCTGTGTTTCCGGCTGACTGAACACACCATTGCGTCTTTTTGGACATGTGTGAGCCCCTTGTCTTGGGGAGTAAGGACAGCCATGACCTGATGAACCCGATTGTAGTTATAGTCCACGGCAGTGCACACATTGTTAGAGAGGACGAATGCGTCCCAATTGGATGATCGGATAAATTGTTGGAATGGCTTCCACTTCAACCTCTAGGTTGCATATTTTGGAATAAAGGCGTGTTTGGTGGCCAATTTAACGCAGAAAGTGAATCGTACCATCTTGTGGTCTCTGCCATAGCGTTTATCTGATACCGCTGTTTGTGCATTTGTGACCCTCAAAGTGAATATCAGGTCGAGTATACTTGTCGCTCAGTAACCTACTGTATCCACTCACCACTTTTGAGACAGGAAAGGAAAGCTGTAAGTGTAGACGAGGATGGTAGAGAGGACCAATTAATCTTTGGTAGGTTAAAAACACTAACAATTATCATCTGCCTGTGTGGCATCTCAGCAGCAAACTCGAAGACTGAATTGATGATGGTAACACTCGCGGTTGACGCAGTTGGCAGGTTGTAAACACATCCGAGTAGAATGTGAGGACCGGTTCCTGAGACGGACAACGAAAGAGATTCGGGAACATTTGTTAGCTGTGGATGATCAAGAAGTTTTGCTGCAATTGTACAGTGTAGGTATATCATGCATCCACCTCCTTTCCCTGTTCTGCCATCTTTTCAGAAAAGCTGTCCACTGTACGACGTTATCACACGGAAGTCATTGCTAGCGATGGGGTGGGCGTGGTTTGATGTTTGCCATCTCCTGGCCGGGTTAAGACAGCTCGCTACACTTTCAGGAACAACATGCCATCCATGCTGTCTACGTAATTGTTAGCTTTGGCAATTAACAATGCCTCAACACTCAGCCTTTATGGTGTTGCTCAATAACTCCTGAGGATCTAGACATTATCCAAGTTTCTTCCCTATCAGCAGTAATGATATTCAATAGGATCTGATTTCATGGCAAACTTCGCTTACTTATTTAGAAGCCCACCTGAGCCAACTGGCGATGAACCTGAGGATGAAGTATTGGAAGCACCAAGGATATACGAGCCGGTAAGTACAATGTCCATCAAGTGCTTGGACTTGCCGCAACCTGTGTATGATGTCTTGCCATTATGTGCAGCGTTCGTATCGTAAGTACATAATTATTGATGAATGAGTGCCTTAAGCTGATAATGCATGGCAGCCTTATGACAGTGCTTACATCACTGCAGCACATTCGAGCCCGATTTAATTATAATCGCTGTGCGAATAAAACACGAAAATACTCATCTGAGTAGAAAAGAAGTTATGTGATCTCCAAGAAGGACCCAGCTGCTGAGTCCGTAACCATAAACAAATTACAGGTGTAAAGATATCTCCAACGCGAAGAGACAGGACTTTAACATGGTGTGATAAGTTTGTGTCTCAGTAATCCATTGAGTTATGCTGAGTGGTGCTTTTTCGCACCTTCAGAGCCACTCATACCAGATTGGCCAATGGTTAGAGGCCAGAAAAACTCTGTCTCCTGCCGCCCGAGGTTGGGGGTTGGAGTGAGGGTGGCTCCTTAATCCATAAATCGGACTCCTTGTAGTGCAGTGCCGAAACCCCGCTGTCTTGCGGTAAGGTTTTTGAACCAACTCGTTCTCCTGTTTAGGCCTGGGCAAAATGACAGTATCCTGCCAACGCAATACACCATGACCTTAACTTCTAACAATCTCTTGATGCTCTGGCGGTCGCAGAGGATACTAAACGGCGCCCTATTGGCCGCATCAAGCAGGGTGGATAGGGGTTTGGATGCTACTGCTCAAGCCTTCCCGCCTTCTTATTCCTCCTCTTACGATTTTTCATTCTTAACGTCCCGTTCCAACTTCACCTACATTACCCCTGTTTTCAATCCTCCAACTCCCAGCCTTCCCCCATCTTGCTTGAATAGTCGCTTGTTTTCTAGTTTTAACTCACACTCAATCGCAGCGCGTCGCTCCAATCCAGTCGACAAGTCCATGTTCAACCAAGCGGACAACGTCAGTTCATCCGTTTCCCTTTGGAGTCCTCGATCCTCCCTCAGACTGGCATGCCTCAACGTACGCACTTTGCTACATATTGGCCAACAGGCAGCACTTGCCCGAACAATCGAGACGTTCTCGATCGATATTTGCTGTTTATCGGAAACGCGCCTGTAAGCTTCGAGCTCAGTGCTTAGTCTGCGTTTCCCCACATGCGACACTGACGGCACAGTCTCACTGCGTCTGTCTGGCGGTGACGCAGCTTCAAATGCAGGTCCAGCTAGCGTCGACATTGCTTTTTAGTCCCCAGGCTGAGGGTGTCCCTATGAAAAACCAGGCGTGCACCGCTAAGTTGGCTGGCTCATTCCAGACTTCAAAGTCGCGCAGTGACAAACGGTGCCTGTTCATCATTGCGGCTTACGCCCCCACAAACAGTAGCCCTGATTGGGTGAAATCTGATTTCTATCACCAAGTTAACGATCTTCTTCGTTCCAGTAGAAGCACGGATACTGTGGTGCTTGCTGGTGATCTAAACGCTCAAGTCAAAAAATGTCCTCTGCTGAGCTTCATCTGGGCTGCCAACATGGTGTAGGCTCCCGTAATGATAAGGCTGAGCGGTTGCTACATCTGTGTGAATGTGCTCGTCTCTTTCAAGTTAGCAGTAACTTTCGACATAGCACCCGCAGATGCGTGACTTGGCGCCCACCAGTCTCGGGCCAACTATGGATTTAAATCGATCATATCGCGATTAGTTACGGCTGGAGAGACTGTGTCCAAAATTGTCGCTCGATTTGGAGCACCAGCGTGAATTCCGATCACTCTCTCGTTTGTGCCGACTTGCGGGTGCGTTTCGGAGGACATGCGAAACGTCGCTTTGAGCGCATAGACACCAGTCAGCTGGCGAAGCCAAGTGTTCTGAGTGCGTATCAAGCTGCGCTGGTATCTGAGCTGAGTAAGCGTCCACTGAATACTGTCGAAGATCACTAGTCGCATATTCGTCAAACGTTACTAGCAGCGAGCATGTCTTCATGTGGCAAATTAAATTGTCAATCTAGACATTGGGTCTGCACAAAATTTCTGGAAACCTTGAATGCTCGCCGACGTATTCCGGATGGAAGCGTGTACAATGAGGCTCGCAAAAAGCGCAGAGCCAAACCGCTTGCTAGCCTGAAGTGTGACTACAAATCCTGGTGGTCTCATCATGCATCGGAAATGGAAACAGTCGCTACCGTTGGTAATCATCGTAAGTTATTCCGTCTGATACGGGAAATAAGCTGCAGGAGACCTGGTGTTAACGAGACAATACGCGACGAGAGTGAACAACTGATCCACAGCTTATGAAAACGCTTGCAGCGTTGGGCCGAGCACTTTGCAAGACAGTTTAACCCATCTGATTTATCGCTTTCTCCTTCAGGCATTGTGTGATCTTCTCCATGGACCATCTCCTTAGATCCGCCTTCACACGCAGAAGTCGAACGTGAGATCAGACTGTTGATATTGCATAAGGACGATGTGCAGATGGAATTCCCCCAGTTCTCTACAAATTCGGAGGACCTGTGGTTGTGGATGATTTACACGAGTTTCTACTGCAACTTTGGGATCAAAAAACTGTCCCGACAGACTGGAGCCGCTCCGTCCTAGTCCCAATTTTCAAGGGAGGCTCCCGTTCGGAATGCGGCAACCATAAGAGGTTCAGTCTGATCTCAACTGCCTCTAAGTTGCTTGCATCCGTCGTTCACCACAGACTGACTGGCGCTCGTGAAGGCCAGATCCGCGAAGAGTAAGCCGGGTTTCTTCGAAATCGAGGCTACTTCCACATCTTCAAGTTGCGTCAATTGTTGGAGAACCGCCATGTTTACTGGCGACCCACCATTGTCGTGCTTCTCGACATCAATGGTGCGTTCGATTCGGTGGATCGATGTGCCCCTTGGGACTGCCTGCTGAGAAAAGGTGTGCCCGATAAATATGTAAACATTATTATTAAAGCGCTGTACGCGCATAGTTCGGGCAGAGTGAGGGTTTATGGCAAACTGTCGTCACTCTACAACATTTCCAGCGATGTGAGACAAAGGTGACTGCTGTCATTTTTCGTTTTTTTCAGCGTTGACGAAACCATGGAGATTGCGCTCACTGGACACGATCTAGAACGTGTGGAGCCGATCCCGGGTGAACAAGTTCTTGAGTTGAAGTATGCTGACGACATTGGCCTCATATGTGCCAGGCTGCACTGGACCGATTAACACTGGTTGTCAATCGTTCTAAGTTATGGTTTGCTCCTTTTAAATACAAAGTTGTTCTCCAAGATTGGCAGGGACCGAATCCTGCGCTGACCCTTGGTGGTGACCAGGTGGATGTCGTACAGGAATTCAAGTACCTGGGCAGCTACATTAGCGCCCGTGGGATCGGAGCCGAGATTACGAACCGTATGGCAAAAGCTCGAGATGCTTTCGCCAATCTTCGCCACCGGTGGCGCAGACGCGACATCACTCCCGCCCTGAAGGGCAGAGTTTATATTACAGCCGTCCGTTCAACCCGCTTATACGGTTGTGAAACCTGGCTCATCAGGTTGAGGGACGTACAAATGCAAGCCGTGTTCGATCATCGTTGCCTCCGCAGACTAGCTCATGTCTGATGGGAGCACCGCGTGAGCAATGAGCGTGTTCGTCGTCGCGTATTTGGTGCAGGAAGAGCTAGTGAACCGCTCAGCACCATTATCTCACGCACGAGGTTCCAGTGTTTGAGCCACGTATTGCGCATGTCAGCACACCGATTCCCTCGCCGTACATTGTTTGCGCACCGAGGGTGCGGTTGGAAGAGGATGAGGAGAGGCCAAGCGATGACTTGGTTGCGAAAATTGAAACCTTCACTTTGAAGTTGGCTTCGGTTGGTACATTGCGACTGCCTGGTTGGGGTCCCAAGGACGATGAGCACGTTTGGTTGGACACACTTGTTGTTATGGCTAAGAGTCGGCCCCAATGGCGTTTGTGTTGTGAGTTCTTTGTCCATCCCCTCCTGCTTAGCCTTCTCATCAATCACGATGTTATGCGTTAGACATAACTCTTTTTGCGGCAAGATAGCTGGCTGTTAGCTCTCCGGAACGATGTCCATCTGTTACTGGTGACTCAGTCGGAGTGCCTCTGTTTCATGACTTCTTGTCTTTTGTTTTGCGGTACAATAGCTAAGGTGTTTTCCACCTGCAGCTAACGTGTGTAATGCTGGTGCTGCTGATATATATCAAACCAGGTGCATACTCGTTTACAGCTTTACTTCAGTTAGCAGCCTATATCAGTTAATGAAATGTTACGAACCGGAAACTAGTGTACAAGCCATAATAGAAAACGGCAACGGAGTTATAGCTCTCGCGGTTATTTTCGTGTGCTTAGCATGAGATAGATGGACAAATTTTCAGCATAACGTTTTAAATATCAATAGTAATCGGTAATGGTTCACACACCGCCATAGGCCTCGTAGCGTTTGGCGGACAGCGTCTTTTTTCGATACAAACGCTTCATTGGACCAAATGAACTAGGGAATGAGTCGTGTAGCGTTTATACTAGGCAGTGCGGATAATCACAGCGACTGGGATGTGCGAATAACAACGATCGTGTTACAGATTAAGATGTCAGCTCAAGTGTTGCTTCGGGGATGAAACACTCCAACTGCCACACTCTTCCGGGTCATCATGTGTATCCTACCACCATTTGGAGTGGGAGTGGTTTGATATCTGCACCTCAATCTGAATTCATGCACCGGCTCCGCTCAAGCTGGCTGGGTTAAGACGGTCCTTTGCACCTTCGATAGCTCCACCTCGTCCATTTTACCCGTGTAGATGATGGCTTTGCCGTTTTCCAACGTCACGTTAAGCAATCTGCAGTGTGTTGCTCATAACTCCCTCCTGATGATGTGTATTTAGCACATGCAGCACTGACAGCACCCTGTATTCAAGATACTTCATGTGTTATGCTCACTTCATTCGAAGCTCGCCTGCTGTTTGACTTATTACACATGTACGCAGCCCCTGTAGCCTACTCTATATACGTACGGATGTGGGTTTGGTATCTTTTGAGA